TGCGGGCGATCCTGGAAGCCTCTTGGGCCGTCTTGGAGCGCCTGAAAGCTCCCACGGCAAAAACGCCGAACATCGGCAAACACTTCTTAGAGAAATCGTGCATTTCTGGCTCAATGGATCCTCTGGAGAGGTCTCTTGAGGCCTCTTGGAGTTCTCTTGGAGCCTCTCGGGGACTTCTCTGGGGGCTTTTTAGGGGCCTCTCAAGGCTTCCAGGAAACTTTTCGGTGTCCAGAGCTCAACATGTCCGTTCGGGTCCCTGGTCAGGGCCCGCTCTTGGGGCCGTGTTGGGAGTTTCTTCGGCCATCTTGGAAGCCTCTGAGGCTGTCTAGGGGCCCTCTAGGGCCGTCGTAGGCGCTATTGGAGGGTTGTAAGTGGCGCTTTTGGATGGTTTTTGGGGAATGTCGGGGCGATCCTGGAAGCCTCTGGGCCGTTTTGGAGCGCCCGTAAGCTCCCCAGGCGGAAATGCCAAAAACTGTTTAAAACTTATGGGAAATTCATTAATTTCTGCCTGTGTGGGTTGTCTTGGACGGTCTCTTGCAGGCCTCTTGGGGCGTTTTTTTTTGCAGGCGCTTTGGGCTGTATGGAGGCCATCTGTGGCGTCTTGGATTGCTCGTGGGCCGTCTCGGGCCATGTTGAGCTCTTGTGGAAGCTAATTGATACGCTTCCTGGAAGGCTCTTGGGAGCCTGCTGGAATCTGGCTGGGACCTGGCCGGGACCTGCCCAGGACTTGCCGGGGTGTTTTTCGTGTGGGGATGTCCAGGTGCGGCCCCGCGCGCGCGAACTGAAGATTGTTGACCAGTCAGAGATCTTAGTACACCCTCGGCCCGTTGCGCCGGCGAATTTAGGAAAACATCCGAACCACGCGTGTGATTTTCAAAATCTAATCGGTCAGCATTAAGAGTCAACTTGAATTCCCAGGCCAACATGGCGATTTTTTACATTGGGCAAAAGAGATATCGCCACGCGTGCGCGCGCTCGAACGCGCGCGTGGCGAGGTGTGTATTTTTAGCAATGGACAGATCTCCATGTTGGCCTGGCAACTAAAGTGAGCCCTCGGCGGTGAGCAGCGGGTTTTCGGGTGACACGCCCGCGCTTGTGTTACCCGATCGGGCGCGCGCGCGAGGACGCGCGCGTTTCGAACTTGACATTGTCTGCAATGGAAAAGTAGACATGTTCGTCTGAGATGGAAAGCGAACCTTTAACGGTGACCGATTTGATTTTGATGCTAACATGTTTTTTTCGACGGTTTCCAAACAGCAGAAAACAATCGGATACCTCAGGAATTGCCATGTGGATGTCCCAAGGATTGCCCACGGATCCCATGGATTGCACGAGCAAATATTATGGACCGCCCACGGAATCCAATGGAATTCCGGTGGAATCCAAGGAATGTCCTAAGGATTCTTATGAACTCATTGAGATCCTAAGGACTCCTACGGATGTCCCAAGGCATCTATGGATTGCCAGTGGAATAGTATGGATATCTGAAGGACAGTTCGAAGGGATCCTATGTAATTCGTACGGACAATGGATCTCCAAAGGCATTTTATGGATTTCTTGCGAAATCCTATTGGTTTCTTTGTGCATCTGATAGAGGTCCTTCGGGATCCCATGGGTGTCCTGAGGGACCCCATGGATTTCCAGAGAAATCCTATGGATTGCCTCAGGAATCTGGTGGATTTCGTACAGCAGGTCATGGATTGGTTCAGGAATCCGACCGATTTCCGAAGGAACCCGATAGATTTCCCCAAAGACCAAAACGGATTGAATTCCGAAGGAAGCCGATGGATGTTCTAAGGATTCCGATGGATGTCTGAAGGGTTCCCATAGATCTACATACGGTTCTCATTGATTCCCGAAGGGATCCTCTGGATGTCCTACGGAATCCCATGATTTTTCAACAGGCCTATAGAAATCGGATGGAATCGTAAGGCTTGCCGACGAAAACATATGGATGTCCAACAGAATCCGATGGACTGCCAAAGGAATCCGGTGGATTTCCTAAGGAATCGTATGCATGTCTTAAGGAACCCGATGGGTGTCCGAAGGATTCCGATGGATGTCCAACGGATTCCTATGGATGACCGAAGGATGCCTATACATTTCCTGAGGAATCTTTTGGATGTCCAGAGGATTCCTATGACTTCTTTAAGATTCCAATGTATTTCTTATGGGATCTTATGGGTTGCCGAAGGAACCTTATGGATTGCCAAAACCCTGTGGATCGTTTAAGGTATCCAATGGACGTCCTCAGAGATCCGATGGGTTTCGTAAGGAATCTTAGCGGTTTGAAGGGAAATCGTTGGATTTCCGATGGAATATTATTCCCCCTCCTCCTTGCGCGCCCAGCCCAGACTTGTTTTACCCCCGTTGTTCTTTTATCACCGTGCATGAACCGCCATTGACACCTGTTGATTGCTATGCTGATTTCTAAGGATTTCCCATGGGCTTCCCAAGGGCCCCTATAGATGTCCTTAGGAATCTCATGGATGCCCTAAGGATTATTGGGCTGCATGGGGCCCTTTTGGGATCTGCTTGGGCCGTCATGGGCCTCGGAGAGTAGCAACATGCAAGTGCGTGACAATCCGTCAAGCAGAATAGGACAATCAATATGTTTGGCCTTTGGAGGCGCTTTTGGAGAGTCCTCTTGGGGTCTTCGGTGTCCACCTTGAGGGCTCCTTGGGGCCTCTTGGAGCCATTTCGGGCAGTCGTGGGGCCATCTTGGGCCGTCTTGAACCTGTCTTGGACCCCCAAGAGGCCCAAGAGGTCGACATAATAGATTGTGTTGGTTTTTGTAGGATTTTGAGGCCCTGAAGGGAGGGCACCACTTCAGGTGCGGTGGATGTGGCTTGGCCTCGGGGGGGTAGGCGGTGATGCATAGTATTGCAACGCAGCGCAAAATGGAGCAAACATGTACACATGGGATACCTTACGTTTGTCAAATCATGGAGTACACCGGATACTGTGCAGTATCGTCTCCGCAGACCTGAGTCTGGCAACACGTCATTTCTGGACGTGGAATGGATTCTACAGGCTCGCGCCACATTCGCCGACCCTATCATATGATTTGATACTTCTGTGTCGCTCGAGGTCTGAGGATGTCCTGCTGGAAGGGGGTGCTAATGATATGTCCCTCCTCCTTGCCTGGGTTGTTGGTCAGGGGCCTCTCAGATGGTTGCTGGGATCTCGCTCGAGACCTCTGGCGGGCCTCTTGGAGGCAGCTTTTGAAGCCGTCTGGGGCCTCGCGGGGGTCCGCTTGCCGTTTGGGGGCCTTTCTTCTTTCCCGCTCATGGATTTTCAGGCGATCGCAAACGTGGATCAAGGGGGCCTGGGCCCCACCGGCGGCGCCTCCGGCGCCGCCCCTGGCGCGCTCCGCGCGCCAGGGGCCGCGGCTCCAGCGCGGATCCAAGATCGCCTGCATCGCCTGGCACATCGCCTATGCTGCCCTTGGTGGCCCGATCGCCGCCGCCCCAGCGGCGCGAGCTACACGCGCAGAGGGGGACGAGGTGGCAATGCGGGGCGCCAGGGGGTCCAGCGCGGATCCAAGAGATCCGCGCGGAGCGCCAACAGTTTCTGTTTGTGTGGTCGTTTCTTCTTCTGCTGGTCTCACCCAAGCCAACTTGCACCATGTGTGCTCAGGAGGGGAAAAACACATACACAATTCATCGTCGCTTCCCAGAAAAAATGTATAAAAAAACTGCGGGAAGTGGGGGGGGGAAGACAGACACTCCGAGAATATGGGAAGGTATGGGGAATCCAGCGATTTGTGTGTATCTATTTGCCTGTCCCAGGCCTCTTGGGCGATCTTTCGGCGATCTTTGGGTGCTCTTGGGCCGTCTTGGGCCGTCGGAAGGCCGAAAGCAAGCAAGTGTCAACATCCGTCAAACATCGTTGGAACATCAGTGTTTTTTTGGCCTCTTCTGGCCTTCCGGGAGGCCCTCCTGGGGGCCTCTTGGTGTGCGTCGGCCTCCCAGGAGCCGCGCGCCCGCTCACCAGAGGGCCGCGCGGCGTGCCCGCCCGGCCGGCGGCGGGCACTCGCCAGGCTCGGGGGCCCCAAAAGCGGGGGTGGCGACCACGCCGTGCGGTGAGTCGGCGGGCATTCGGCCGTCCTTCGCGCCTTCCTCCTCCTTCTCCGCCTCCTCAGCCTCCTCCTCCTCCTCCTCCTCCTCCTCCTCCTCCTCCTCCTCCTCTTCCTCTTCCTCTTCCTCCTCCTCCTCCTCCTCCTCAGCCTCCTCCTCAGCCCCCTTCTCCTCCTCCTCCTTTTCCTCCTCCTCCTCCTTATCCTCGTCCTCAGCCTCCTCCTCCTCCTCCTCCTCCTCCTCCTTTCTCCTCCTCCTCCTCCTTATCTTCCTCCTCCTCCTCCTCCTCCTCCTCCTCCTCCTCCTCCTCCTCCTCCTCCTCCTCCTCCTCCTCCTCCCCGGAGGCCTGCGCGCGTCCTCGCCGAGGAGGCGGCGCGCTGGAGCGCCTCCCTGGAGGCGTCGCTGTGTGAGTCGCTGGGGATTCGGGGTCACCGAAAGGTTTTGGGACTCGGGCCGTTCTCCGAGGATGTTCAGGAGGGGAAAATACACACAGACACAATTAATTGTCGATTCCTTAGAGAATATTGGAAAATATGGGAAGTGGGGGGGAAGACAAAAACCCAGAAAATATAGGAAAATATGAGGACCTTTTATTTGTGTGTATTAATTTGTGTGTCCTGGGGCCCCTTCAGATGTCTCGGGCGACTGGAGCCTCCAGGGTCCCGAGACCGTGCGCTGACGGGCCGTGCGGCGAGGTCTTGGGGGACTTCGAGGTCCCCGCACGGTCTGTCGCCGCACCGTTCCGGGACTCCACACATGCCCGCACCCTGGCTGGCAGTCGCCAGGCTGGCACTTTGGCTGGCCCCAACCAGGCTGGTGCCCTGGCTGGCATCCTTGCTGGCACTCGCCAGGCTGGTACCCCGGCTGGTGCTCGGGTGCCCTTCCGCATGTCATCCCAGGCAGTCCGCGGCGCGGCGGCAGGTGACCCGCGTGGAGGCCGTGGAGGTCACGCGGAAGCTCACGACCTCCGAGCGCGCCGCGCCACCGCGCACGCGCCCCGCGGGCGCGATTAGGCCGAGGATCGATGATATCGAAGGTCGTGGATCGAGCTTCGAGGAGGAGGAGGAGGAGGAGGAGGAGGAGGAGGGGGAGGAGGAGGAGGAGGAGGAGGACGAGGAAGAGAAGGAGGAGGAGGAGGACCAGTGGAAACCCAAGAGTCATCAACGATGTTGAAATAAACCCTCCCTCCAAGCTCCCTCTTCATAGGCCCCCACAGCGGTGCATTTCCACTGAGGGAACTGCCTCGTTGGAGGACATACGTTTGGAGGCTCTGAAGCATGCCAAAACAATGTTCTCGGGATTCCAACGCCACAGATCAGTTTGATTGTTGCGTCTTGACGATCATGAACCGTGACAGAACACCATTCCTGAGACTTCAACACTGCGAATCAGCGCGCTAAGGCGCGAGCCACACTTTGAAAAGGAATCGTTCTCAGCTGGGAAACTCTTGCAAATGTTGAAAACGAATGTGCGCGGCGCTAAAGCGAGAGCCACATTTTGTAAACGACCCGCACTCAATCCGTGAAACTGTTGCAACATTTGACAACGAATGTGCGCGGCGCGAAGGCGAGAGCTACATTCTGAAAATGATCCGCCCTCAATCCGTGAAACTGTTGCAAATGTCGAAAACGAATGTGCGCGGCGCTAAGGCGAGAGCTATATTTCGAAAACGACCCGCCCTCAATCCGTGAAACTGTTGCAATTTTTGACAGCGAATGTGCGCGGCGCGAAGGGGAGAGCCACATTTTGAAAACCACCCGCCCTCCATGTGTGAAATTGTTGTCATTTTCAGAGTTCCAGGGTCATAAATGGTGATGAAGTCTCTGGCGAAACGCCCGGCCCGCCCTAACAAGTCGTGTCGGGGTGCGACAGGGAGAAATGATTTATAAGGACAAGGAATGGAGGAGGAGCAGGATGATCGAGGACAAGGAGGAGGATGGGTGACGAGGAGGATCGAAGATCGAGGATCGGGGGGTTCAGGATCGGCGGGCCGAGTCGATCTTCGACGATCGGCATATTGACAGTTCCAGGCGTGCTTGGAACATTCGAAGTGCTACCCGCGCTTGCACGGCTCACCGACTCACTGCCAGGTCTCAGTCGTGTGGTTAGCACTCGCCCTGCGGCTCGCCCTCGTGCTGCTCACGGACGTCCTGCTAGTCCGAGTCGCAGAATCGGGTGGTGGAGGATCGTCCGGTGGAGGACTCGGGGAGCCGAGGATCGGCGGCCCGGAGTTGGGGCTCAAGAGCCGAGGTCGTCTGGCGTGTTTTGGCCGAGGTCTTCTGACGTCGATGCGCTCTGGAGCACACCGGCAGCGGCTTCCCTGGAAGGCCCAGGTGGAGTGCCCTCTGCACCAATCCCTGGCGGACGTGAGGTCGCCGGCACCGCGCGTGCAGTACTTCATGTTCTGTGCGTGTCTCCCCCCCCTTTCGTTCCCCTCTGCGGCTGCCCTCCCCTTGCTGCCGCAGAGGTGGCCCAAGAGGGCCCCAATGATGCCCCAAGACGGCTCCAAGAGGACCCTCGAGAGGGCCCAACGAGGCAAGCATCGCCCCAGTCTGCCAAGAGAGCGCACATGTCTAGCACATTCGCGTTTTTAGGTGCGAAGCGTCCAAGACGACCTCCTCAGCGAACCCCCATGAGAGCCGCAAGATGGCCCAAGACGCCCCCCAGAGAGCCCCAAGAGAGCCCAAGAGAGCCCAAGACGGCCCAAGAGGCACTCTGGACCGCCCAAGACGGCCCCAAGAGAGGGGGGGGGAATTCGAACCCACATGTGCCTCCGCCCTAAGAGGAACCCGAAGATCGCCAGCAGGCCCCCAAGGACCCCCCCGACAGGATTCAAGAGGCCCCAAGACGACCCAAGACGGCCCCAGGAGGACCCTCAAGATGGCCCAGCGAGGCAAACATCGTTTCACTTCCCTCGGAAAACACATTTCGAGCTGATTCTGTGTGTTCATGCGCGCAGCGTCCAAGACGGCCCCAGAGGCCCCTGGGAAAACCCCAAATGGCGGAAGAGGTTGCCGAGAGGGCCCCGAGAGCCCAAGAGAGCCCCAAGACGGCCGAAGAGGCACTAAAGACCGCCCGAACCCACGTTCTGAGGCCTTCGCCCCAAGAGGAACCTGAAAACCGCCAGGAGGCCCCCAAGGTCCCTCCCAAGAGGACCCACGAGGGCCTAAGGAGACCCCGAAGATGCCTCGCAAGGCACCCCAAGAGGCTTCAAACTGTGTCCAAGAGGCTGCGCAGAGGTTTCCGTATTCATTTTGGCTCAAGCCATTTAGGCCAGAGGGTGTAGATGCAAGGTCAAGTAATCAGCGGTCGTCAGTCGGCAACCGTACCAACCTAATTTGAATTCGCCAACCTTCATCGGATATACCACGCCGCCGAGATTCAAGTACCATGACGCTCTCTGAATTTGAAGAGGCTATGAATCTTGGGAATCCAGCAGATGCCGCCGCTGACAATCAGGTGCCTCGCACCAGTAAGAGCAGCCTGCTCCATCAGCTGCACAAGACGAAGATGTGCGCCTTCTACGAGCGTGGCGCATGCAGGTACGGCAGCGAGTGCTCCTGGGCGCACTCGGAGGAGGAGTTGAAGATCCCGCCCGACCTGCACAGGACCAAGCTCTGCGCGGCCTTCTGCGAGACCGGGTGCTGCGACGACCCCCCGTGCGCGTTTGCGCACGGGGAGGAGGACCTCCGCTCCACGGCCGTGCTCTACTGGCAGAAGCTCTGCCTCTGGAGCGCGAGGGGGTGCTGCCGCAACGGCGACCGGTGCCGCTTCGCGCACGGCCACCGGCAGCTGGCGCAGGCCGGGCAGCGGCAGCGCACGTGCACCGCTGCCGCTCGCCCGCGAGGGGGATCGCGCCGGGGCCGAGGCGCAGTGCCCCCCCGGACGCTGCCGGTCACGCGGTCGCGCCGCGGAGCGCCGGCGGCGCGCGCCCGGGGGCGGTCAGCATCGTTTAACCGATGCTCCCTCCCTCCCTCCCTCCTCCTCCTCCTCCTCCTCCTCCTCCTCGTGCACGGGGCTCATCCCCATGCCCATCCCCTCTGGACGCCCGAAATGGGTAGGGAAAGAACGGGTACAATGCCCAACAGCAGTTCCTGCGCATTTTGAACAGGATTCGCTGTCCACGCCGCCGCGGCCTGTGTCCACTTGAAACAGAGGGCCGCCTGCCCAACAACGGCCGCTGATGGTTTGGGACAGCATTTGCTGTTGGGCATTCGACCAATTTTTTCGGTGCCCATTTCGGGCGTCCAAGTCCCGATCCATATCTCCACCATCCCACCACCCCAGTTGGGGATAGGCCCCTCGAAGCCCGAAGGGAGCCGCCATAAATATCCCCATCTCGGGGGTAAATCGGCCAGTGGGGCCCAGGCCACGCCAGTGGGGATAGGTATCGGTCAACGATGCTCAGGCGGTTCCAGCGCCCCGGGGGGGGGCCGGCGGCTTCCCCGCGGGCCGCGGCGCGGCGCAAGCTGGGGTCGCCAGCGCCGCCGCCCTTCTGCGGGCACATGACGAGCCCATGAAGATCCACCCGCCTGGCCCCGCCCACGGCGACGAGCACCCGGCCTGCCTCCCTTCGCTGGGCGTGATGGCGAAGGGCCGGACCGAGAGCTTGGCGCTGCGCCTGGACTCTCTGCCACCAGCTGGCCGTGCTCGCCCATCAGTGCGGCCAGGTGCCCCACCAGGGCGTCGGCCCCGCATGCGCGGGCCCCAATGGGGGTTCAGGCGCTGGCGGGTTTTCAACACTCTCCACTCCCGGCGGCGGTTATGGCGTGCTGGGCAGTGCTGGGTTGGCTCCCTTGATGCCGTCGAGCGGGCGATGAGTCTGGTCGGCCTAGGCGCTCGCGGGCCTGCGAGACTGCCCTTTGGTTCCAGAGCTTCAGAATTTTCTTGATGTTCCAGCTCCCATTATGCACCCTCCCTCCTCCTCCTCCTCCCTCCTTCCCTCCGTAGCCATTTTGGCTCAAGGTTTTTGTGTCTGCGTTGACACAAAGGGATACCGCTAGTCCGCGGCAGTCTTCGGCTTTCTGTGGGCTCCTGTGGGAGCAGCCCTTTTGTGAGCTCCTGCTGGAGCGGATAGCTCAGTATGGCAAGGGCTTCTCAGTGTGTGCTACGTGCGGGAACTGGCATTGGCACTGGAGGCTCAAGAAGCAGAAGGGTGTTTGCAAGGTCTGCGACACTCTCCAACCTGGCTGGGTCTCGTCTGCGCAGGGGACCTGGTGGGCGCCATGGAGTTCAGGCAGCGCGGGGCAGAGTTGGAATGCCCGTCCTGCGTCCCCGTCCCCGAATGGCAACCTCGGCGCCCTCCTCCAGCAGGCGATCGCGGGCGCGGGCCTGGACAGCGACCCCGAAGCTGCACGGCTTGCGAAGGAGTTCGCCAGCCTGGCCGAGTCCAAGAAGGCTGCGCGCGCCCCTGCGCCGAAGCCTACGCATGCGCTGCTCAAGGAGGCGACTACCGCTCGCTCCCGCAAGCAGGAGGCGCTGGAGAGGGCAGCCAGCCATCTCGAGGCCGCCAGGCTGCGCTTCGAGAAGGCGCAGGCCGACTTGGACACGGCCGCCAAGGAGGTCATGGATGCGGAGTTGCATCGCCTCAAAGTGCAAGAGGCTGCTGCTCCTGCCGAGACCAAAGCGAAGGTGCACTTCCAGCTCGACCCTGAGCTGTTCGAGTGCCTCGGCGAGCTTGAGGAGACGGATCGGGCTGCCCTGGAGGACATCCAGAAGCAGCTGGCGGACGTCACCGCGCAGGCCGAGGCGAAGCAGAAGGAGTTTCAGAGCTTGCTGGACCAGGCTCGCAATGCGCACGAGGAGGCTGCTGCGAAGCGTCGCAAACGTAACTCTTCGGGCGCCGCCGTGCCTGGCGGCGAGGAGGCCGCGGAGCAGGCGCCCGCCAGCGGCGACGCCGCGAGCAGCGCTGGGAGCGCGGTGGGCCCGAGCAAGGACAAGGTCGTGCTCCCGCCTGAGCAGCAGGCTGCCTTCCTCGAGCGCACCAAGGGTGACGCCAGCAAGCGCGCCAAGGACAAGGCCACGGCCGCTGTCAAGTGCGCTGCTGCAGGCGAGGGCAAGGCTGCGGCGGGCAAGGGCGCGGCCCCCGCTCCTGCTCCTGGGCAGCCTGTTTAGCCTGGTCACCGACGCCCACCGCTGCAAGGGCGAAGTTGCAGCATCTCATGCACCTGTACCATATGGGTCCGAGGCCACAACCTTGGACATCTTCTTCGGCAACATCGCAGAGTGGGGTCCGCAGGCGGCTCGCTTCCTCGCCCAGGAGCAGGAGCGCGCGATCGTCGCCTTCGTGGAGACCCACAAGAGCGAGAAGGACATGGATGACATCTGCCAGGCCGTCGACAAGGACGGCTAGAGGTTGTCGTATACGGCTGCTCGAGCTTCGGGCAGGTCCGAATTGGGTTGTCAGGCGGGGAGTGGATACTCGCCAAGAAGCATATGGCTACTACGAGCTTTGACAGGACTCGTCGTGCTGCTCGTGGTGCTGGTCGCCAAGACCCGTGCAAGGGGTTCGCGCCAGCGGTGATCCACGCGCAGAGCCGCGCGTTGGTTTTGACTTCTGCTCATTTGCAGCCAGGTTTGTGCGTGGAGGGCTGGAACAACGAAGTGCTGGTGGCTTTGGGACCCTTCGCGCGGGCCTTGGCGGACCCCTGGCTGGCGATGGCAGATTGGAACATTGAACCTACCGGGTTGTGCGCGACTGGCTGGCCAGAGAAGCTCGGAGCTGCTGTGGCCACGCCTTCTTGCCGCGCCGCATGCGACAAAGGGCAAGGTAGGATGTGCGACTACGGCTTGGCCAGTATGGGTTTCCCGTCACTCTCGCTGAGGCCTGGGATCCGAGCACCTTGGAAGACGCGCTGTGGCGTTGCGGTTACTGTCGAGGTTGCTCGAACGCAACGTTGGTATAGGCATCTGGCTGTTCCTCGAGCGCCCCCGCTGAGAGAGCGCCCTCTTGTTCGGGCTGACCCGAACAGCAAGCGCCCCCGGAAGCGCGAGCAGCAGAGGCAGCGTCGTTTGGAAGCTTTGCCAGCTGAGCACGTGAAGCCTTTTGATGAACTCGCCCCTGCTGAAGAGGTGCCGCAGCCAACTGTGTCTTTCGCGATTCCCTCGGAGACGTGGCGTGAAGCTCAGTTGCAGATTTACTGGGAAGGCGCTCCTCGACTGTTTGACTCCACGCCTGAAGGCGAGCGGGGTAAGTTTGCTGCGTATGATCGGCGCCAACATTTTGTTCTCGAGTGGCAGAAGGAATGCAGGCATCACTTGGACGAGCTGTATGGCACTTGGATCTCGACCCTGGAGAGGTCTACGTTGTTGCATGAAGAGATCGACCCAGTTTCGTGGAGCCAGTATTCAGGTCGTGCACGTGGCCCTGGTGCGTTTTGGCCCACGTTGTCTTCCTCCCCAGGTCGTGCTTATATGAAGAAGGTGCAGGCCGAATGGTGGGGATCTGTCAGCACCTTCATCGTGCGCTACTCTGCGCTACGAGCGAATGGATCCGATTCGAAGCAGGCCGAGGGCTGTGCCTCGGGAGTTCGCGCTATGGTGCTGGCCTTGGGAGTTCAGCAGCATGCCGAGTTCTCTGGGCGCAAAGCGGTGCCTGAGGTTGTTGATCAGTGGAAGGATATGGCAGTCGACATGCACAACGTCTCGGATCAGCTGCTGCCCTCTTTCCTCGAGAATACCAGGCATTGGGCGGACTTGTCAACCTCCAGGGCAATGCTGGCTTCGAGGTCATCGTTCATGAAGTGGGTGCAGGATATGTGGAGCACCAAGCCTGTGCAGTTCACCGTCATGTTAAGCAACCACAGGCACTGGAGTGGGAAGCTCTGGTTTCTGCTGGCAATATGACCACTGACAAGCACACGTTGCTGCAGACTTCGGCTACTGAATGGAATGCTATGCGCGGGATTCTTTCGACAGTCCTGCCGATATTAAGTACATGCCGGGAAGGTGTTTGCAAGCTGCCAAGGGCGACCCCTTGCCCCCGATATCGCTGCAGGATGTCGATGCTGTCTTGCCTGTGCTTCCTGCTAGGAAAGCGAGGGGGGTCGATGTGCTCAGTCCGATTGATGTGCAACGGCAACCAGTTGGGGCCAGACAGCAAATTGCAGATATCATGGACGCTATTGAGTGTTGTGGCGCACGGCCGAGTTCCTTGTCCACTGTGCCGGGCGCTGCGGTTCCCAAGGAGGCGGGTGGCAACCGCGCGCTTGGCTTGGTTCCGACCCCTCGCATGATCTGGTCCAAGATCCGTACCAGAGTTTCGGGCAAGTGGTCTGCCGAACAGTCTGCCTTTTGGGATACGGCTATCGCGGGACCTTCGGCTTTGAGAGCTGCGCTTATTAGGGCTGTTTGGGATGAAGGAGCGCAGGCATTGTCGTTTGAACGCGCTTCCCTGTTCTTAGATCTGACTTAGTTTTATGATTCAATTTCTTATGTGCTCTTGATGCAAGCTGGTCTGAGGATTAGTTTTCCTGCTATCATATTGCTGCTCGAAGTGGGTATGTACGCTTCCCCTCGTTCGTTGAAGAAGGGCCAGATGATTTCGGAGGAGCTATACATCACTCGTTCCATCGTGGCTGGGTCAGGGCATGGCGTTCCTGTTGCCACAGCTATGCTGCACCAGCTGCTGGGCGAGACACCGCGCTTGTCCTGCTGTCGGCCTCTGGCATTCCATCGATGACCTGGTTGGCAGGAGCGAAGGCTCCAGGCGCAGTGTCATTGAGCACATGGATGATTTTGCAGGAGTTATGGCGGGCGGGTTGAAGGCGCTGGGGCTGAAGATTTCATGCAAGACTAAGCTGGTTGCCAGTTCGGATGAGATGGGTTATGAGCTTCACCGACGCCTCCGCTCGATTTGGATTCCAGTGCAGTATGCTCGTGCCACAGTTGATTCAGGCTCTGGCGCAGCCGCGGCTAGGAAGCGTGCCCCCTCCAGGATGCAGAAGCGACGTGCCCAAGCTCGCAGGCGGCAGCGCAAGGTCATGCGCTTGCGGCGGCTGCCGAAGAGCAAGCTCATCGCCAAGAAGTTGTCCAGCGCGGGTGTCTCACCTGCTTCTGTTTTCTGGCGCCAGGTTATGGGGGCGCCTCCTTCCTCGATCCTGGCATTTCGGCGTGACGCAGCTGCTAGTGCCGCAGGTGTGGAGAGGGGCAGGTGTTTAACTACTGTGCTGCAGGTTTGTTTTGGCAATGCTGAGCCTGGCATTGAGTTGCAAAAGCAGATGCTCAAGAGTGGGTTTCCTTGTGGTTATCTCAACCTGGCTTGCACCCCAGGATTCGCCGCACTTGGCCGAAGATGCTGGATAAGCTTTGACGGGGTGCGGTTGGGCGCGATACCATTGTGAGGTGGACTGATGTTCGGGGACCGATCGCGGCTCTGCAAGCCCCCTTACTTCAAGCTGGGTGGAACCCTAAGAGTTCTGACGCTTGGTCGAGGCCGCTACCTGACGGTACCATCGACGGCTGGATCTTTCCCGCTCCTTGTGACGATATGTTTGCCACTGCTGTGCCTGCCCACTTTGACGAGATGATTGGAGCATTTTTCGGATGATGTTGTGAAGCTACAGTGGAAGCAGGCCTCCAAGCACGTTGCGGGTGACGATCCGGAGGAGGGAGCGGACCTGCTCACAGTGCAGATTGAGCTGAATCGGATGGTCAAGAAGTCGATGTACGCCGAGTGGGCCTCCAACCTTGTCGTCGTCGCGGGGGGCCAGCGGACGCGTGATGGGCAGATCGCCGCAGGTTATGCCCGCCCGCCGCTGTGCCCCCGCTGCAAGGCCTCGCCAGAGACTTTAGTGAATAGAATCTGGCTGTGCCCAGCGAGCTGCGGGCGTGGAGATTTTGAGAAGACCGAGCATATGGTTCCCCAAGTTTTAGCCTCTTGGGAAGCCCAGCCAGCCTTGTGGCTCAGATGGGTCACCTCGAAGGACCTCACGGTGCCTAGGTTTGTTGAGTCTGAGGAGAGCGCCCAGGTGGCCTTTCTTGGGGATGGTAGGATTTGGGATTTCTGCTACAGCGATCCCTCGGCCCCTCTGTTTATCTTCGGAGATGGGTCTGGAGGCGACTTCAGCGCGGACCCCCGTCGGAGAAGGTGCGGCTCGGCTGTGGCTGTGATGTGCCAGGGTCCCTCGTCGCCATTTCTTTGTGTCCCACAGTGCGGGGCAGGGCAGATTTTGGTAGGTAGGAAGCACTCCGTCCCGAGAGCGGAGCTGCAGGCTATTTGCTTTGCCTTAGAACATTTGTTTGGCTGTATATGCTATGTTACGGACTGCAGGAGCTTGTTTTCGGATTGGCACGATGGCCGCGCTGCCAGGCCTCGGGGCCAAACGCGGTGACCTGTGGGCCCGCGTCGCGCTCGCATTGGGTTCCCGTGGCCCTGGGGATGTTTCTTTGCTTTGGACGCCCTCCCACTCGGAGGGGGATTTGCAGTCGGTGACCTCTCTGTATGCATTGTTTTTGAGCCAGGGCAATGCCAGCGCCGACGCGCATGCGGGGTCGCGCCCAGCGGGCCTTTGAGTGGCGCGTCGCTCCCCCCCCCCCCCTCGCACTGACTTTTGGGATGCGACGGCGGCGCTGGTTAGACGGCGGGCTCGGCGGGCGCTTTTGATGTCTCTCGACGTTGAGCCTTGGGGGGGGGGGGGGTCGTCCGCCGCCCCGGCCGAAAGCCCATGAGTTCGAGAAGTTCGACCAGGTCATTGCGGCCAGTGCCCATGCGTTCCGTCCTTTCGCGGGCCGCTGGCGTTGTGATCGGCGCCGTGCGATTGTCCCGAGGAGCCAAGTTCCTGCTGTCGCCTCGACCCCGTGCCGCGACCCTCTTCCGTCGCAGCCGCTACATTCGGACTTCGACGCTGGGCCGGAGCCTGAGTACGGAGAGGGTTTCGAGGCGATCTCGGGTGATTTTTCGGTTGGTTCGGCGCGCTTGCACCGCAGCCACCGCCTGGCCACAATGAAAAGTTTCGGTCTGATTTTCTGCCAGCGCTGTGGGTTCACAGCGACCACCGACGGCAGGTGGCTCAGAGACGAGCGCGCCCCCCCCCCCCCCCACACGGAAAGGGGGGGGGGGGATCCGAGACGAATTCGACGTGGCGTTTTCCCGTCGTACCGCGGCCCGCCAGTGGCCATGCGTGAGGCGGCGGCCCTGGCCGCTGCGGGGCGAGCCTTCCCGCCCCCACCGCTGGAAGGAGCTGTGGGTCAGGTGGGCGCACGGGTTGAGGGCCGCCCCCTCGGATTTGATGAGTATGAGGTTCGCTCGTCGTCTCGGCCCGCCAACGTCGTGGCGTCGGAGATGGCGATCGCTGAAGACCGCCGCGAAGCGGCTGCCGCCTTTGCCGCCGCTGCCGTGCGGACGAGAGGTCGTCGAAGCAGCGAGGCGGGGGCGGGCACGCGTGTGTCTGGAGGAGGCTGGTCGGGGGCGAAAGTGGTATGATGCGCCACCCGACCCAGCCCGAGGATCTGGACGTGCTTCCTCCCGCATCGACTCCCATCGACTCCTCCCTCCCTCCTTCCCCCTTCCCTTCCCAAAGAGAGGCGTGCCTTTCGGCCTTTCGCAGAGGGGGGTGGGGGGAGGGCGGGGTTCTTCTTAGAAGCACCCCTGCTTCTAAGAAGGCGCGGGCCTTATCTATAGATGTATGGCCGGCGCCTTCTAAGAAGCAGCCTCCTTCTAGGAAACCCTCCCCCTTCCCTCCAGCCCCTTGTGCGCGCCGCCAAACCTTGCCGAAGACAGGCCTGCGGAGACCAACGTCTCTTTCAGCGTTGGAAGGTTTTCTCCTGCCCCCGAAGCTTCGGAGCCATCGGGGGCCTCCGTTGTTAATCACTTATGTTGCTCCGTCGTGCCTCTGAACAGACAAGAAACAACGAGCGGCGGGCATCCAACATCGCAAAAATCCCGTGTTCTCTGGAAGAGGGATGCTGCCAGTTCCCGAAATGTTTGTTTGTTATTAATGGTGCTCCGCGACGTTGTCCCAAGGCTAGCGCGTGTTTATATACATGTTAGCTTCCGACCTGGTGAGGGTGCTTCACCTGCCCTCGTTCAGAGGTGCCAAGATGCAGGACCAGCCATGCTCAGTTGGGCGACCAACGCATCCTCGTACAGAGGGGTGCTATTATAATGTCTGAAACGTCCGAAACAGCTTTGGTGGGCCAGAGAACAACTCTTTAGAGTCTCTCCCTCTCTTGCTGCGCGGACCGGGGCGGCCATGAGTGTGTACGCAGCTGCCGATGCAAGCAAAAGAGAGGCTGCGCAGAGCATTCCGTCATTCGCGACCATAGAGGGGGCGAGGGAAAATGATGGGGGGAGGGAGAGTATGGAGCAGCGAGGTGGAGGAGGAGGACGAGGAGGAGGAGGAGCAGGAGGAGGAGGCGGAGGAGGAAGACGAGGAGGAGAGGGAGGCGGGAGGAGGACGATTGCGAGGAGGAGGCCAGCGGCACCCGAATCCCGCGGCCAGGGAAGAGTTGCGGGACGGAAGAATCCGCCACTACCACACGCTCCGGCAGATCGGGGGTGTCGTGCACAGGAGCCCGCGCGATTCACATGTAGGATCGAGGACGGGGTCGAGGAGGATCCAAGAAATCCAGCTACATAAGTACGAACTCTCGGAGGTCCGCGCGGATTGTTTGGATCGGCGCTAGTCTTCCCAGGCGGCGCCTCCAGCGTCGCCACTGGCGCTCTCCGCTCGCCCGGGGAGGGGGGTCAGCGCTGATACCGGAAACCCGCGCGGATTTCCGAAAGTTCATGTTTATGCAGGTGTTTCTTCTGCAGAACGAGGATCGAGGAGGGCGTCGATAGGGACTCGAACATCGACATGTTTGAGACGGCTATTTGGCCCTTCGCGGCCCTCCTGAGCCCCACGCGCTCGGGGCAGATCATTGCCGGGGGCATCCCCATATCACGCCGACATGTTCTACTCCCAACACGCCCCCTGACGTCCCCTCGTCCCCGCAGATACCTCCAGCCATCATGCGCTGCCCCCCCCCTCTTTCTGCCCCCCCTCTTCGGCCCACCCGACGCGGAGGCCTCCGTGGACACCGCCCGGCGCCTCCTGGGGAGGAGGAGCAGGAGGTGGAGCAGAGGGGAGGGAGGGGGACCTGGCCGAGGTCAGGAGGGCAGCGCGGAGGAAGAAGAGCGGGAAGGAGGGCTTGGAGGGGGGTGGAGGGCTGCGAGGTGGGAGGAGGAGAGGGAGGTGGGCGGGGCCCCGCCCCTCGATCGGGCCGCGCTGCCCTGAGCTGTTCTGGTCTGGACTGGCGCGCGGCCGGGGCGGAAGTGGCCCCGATGAGAGTTATAGAAGTCCGGCCTGTCCCTCTGCATGGGGAACACTCAAGAATAGTCAACGAACAGTCTGGGGATTCTTTTCCGAGTATTTTTGGGGGGCATCTTTGGGGCATTTTGGCGGTATTTTTTTATTTGTCGTCCAAGATCCCCTTGTAGTAGGGGGACAGGCCCGACTTCAGATTAGAGGTGGGTGCGCCGCCCGCGCAGGGGCGCCACTCCTCTAAGGGGCCGCCACGCGCAGTCTGAGGAATAGTTGTCCTGATCTCTCTGGCTTTCAAGGTCGTCTTTGAAGGTCTTTGACACATTGCCCTGTAGGGAAAAAAAAAAAAGAGAGGTGGGTGCGCCGCCCGCCTCGCGTGCAGGGCCGCCAACGCTTCGGCCGTGCAGCCCGGTCGAGCCGAGGGGTCTGCGAGCACGCGCGGGCGGGGTTCGGAGGAGAGGGCGGCGGGCCGGCGGACTGAAAAGGTGCCGAGGGGTGATCATCAGAGGAGGGCAGGGTGAGACAAGGGTGACGTTTTTGCCTTATTCGCCTCCGAGGGGCCTCCTCGTCGCCACGGCTGGACGCAGCGTGAAAAATCGGTGCGTTTGGACCCCGGGAGGGGTCCGGGGACCGATTTTGAGCCGATTTGGCCACCGTTGTCTCACGCCCGTTGTCTCGCGTTGCTCTCCTCCGAGATCAGGCGGTCGCAGACATGCATCACGGGGGCGTAGAGTAGCGACGGGTCCCGTGCCCATGGGACCTCGCGGGCTTCCGCCGCCGAGCGGGGCGGCCCTGGCCGCATTCTGGGGCGGCCCCGGTCCATGGATTCGGCGACCGCGCGCCAGATCCATGGATCGCTCACCCATGTTTGCGCGCCCCCGAGATGAGGAGCCCCCCCCCCTCCCCCCTCGGCGCCGCGCCTCTAGAGATGGGCCCGTGGGGCTCTCCGACCGAGAGCCGAGGATCAGGGTCGAGGACCGAGGATCTCGAATCGAGGATCGAGGAGCAGGGTCAAGGATTAAGTCGGGCGTGTCCCCCTACAGATGGAGTTTCGCCTCAAAATGAAAGATACACCAAAAATACCCCCAAAAGGCAAACAAATAATCAACAAATAGTTCCCAGACGATATTTGGACTATGTTTGGACTATTTTAGGGGGCACTTTTTATTTTTCGTCGAAAATCCCCCTGTAGGGGGACAGGCCCGACTTAAGTCAAGGATTTTCGATGTGCGATTCGCTCGAGTAGGGGATCGAACACAGAATTGCTTTTCCCCGAGATCGGTCTTCTCCTCGAAGCTGCGAAAGGCACGTCGGATCTTCGTGCATCTACGGGACGTTCTACGCATGTGCTCGTAGATTCGACGAGAGACCCCATTTGGGGGCAAGTTCATGTTGTAGTCGATCCCCTGCTCGATGCGCTCCTGCCGGGCCTACCGATGCCTTCGGGGGCCTCCCGAGGCCTGCAGACCTCGGGAGGGCTCTGCAGGCCCTCGGAGACTCTCCGGGGAGCTCCCGGCGGGCCGCCGCTTCCCGGCCCTCTCCGGGCCTCCCACGTGTCGGGTGTTGCTAGAAGTGCCCCTGGGCCAAGGTGCCCCCCAGGATTCTGAGGGCAGCCCAACCGGCCTCCACAGCACCCCTCACGAGGCCCAGAGGACCCCAGGGGCTTCAAAATGGAGCGGAAAGCTGGGGGCACCTTGGGCCAGGGGTACTTCTAGCAACACCCGAACGTGGGGCCCGAGCAGATGGGGTCGGAGGATCGCGCCGCATCGCAGACGACTCTGGACGGAAAGCCGGCCCTGGGGAAGCGGTCTGGGCCCAGGGCCCAGGGCCCAGGGCCCACGCATCGAGCAAAGTGGAGCGGCCAGATGTCTGGGATTCCAGGCCTCCCACTGATTCTAGGCCTCCTCCTCCTCCTCCTCGCTTTCCCCTCCTCCTCCGCCTCCTCCTCCTTTTCCTCCTCAGCTGCTCCTCCTTGATAAGTTCTGGGGGCCTCTCACATGGGGCCGAGGTAGGTGGGGTCGGGGGATCGCGCCGCCTCGCCGATGCATCGGCGACGTGGCTCGATGTGGATCCAGGTCTTCGCACCAACGGCGCCGATGCATCGCCGACGTCGCCGACGCATTGGCGATGCATCGGTAATGCGGCGCGATCATCCGCCCGTTCACTCGGACCCGTGCGGGAGTGTGGGAGGCCTCCACATAAGCTCCAGACCTGGCCGCCCTGCATGATTCGATGGAGACAAATTAGCATAGACATTAATTTCCGCAGCTTCCCGCGGATTTCTCTGCTCGGCGCTGGGCCCGCTCCTTGGCGCGCGGTGCGCGCCAGGGTCGGCGCCAGAGAAGCCACCCGGGGGTCCAACATTGATCCAAGAAATCCGCGCGGAGTTCCGAAAGTCTCTGTTTGTGCGGTGTCTTCTTTTTCTGACGATGCGGCCGCCGGGCCAAGAGAGTCCCCGAGGATCCATTGGTTGGTTCACGCCCTTATCTGCCAGAGCATGCCAGGACAGCGGCAGGCGGGCTCCAGGTGATCTGAACCCCTTCCTGAGGCCGACTTTTCATCTTAATGAGTTGTTTGACAGTCCCTGGACCGGGAGACGGCCTCACGAGGGTGAGGAAGCAAACGCCGCCGCTGTCTTCTGCGACGCCCAGATCCCTTTCAGAAGGAGCACGAGGTTGAGGATGGGGGAGGGCTACGTTCACTGAACCTTGCAGCCACCGGGAACCAGGAACCGGGCGGAGGATGACACGGCGGAGGATCTTGGGCGGCGGGAAAGGTTTCCTGAGAGAGGCCTCCTCCGCCTCTGAGCGGCAGCTCTCTCTCTTGATAGGCCTAGAGGTTGACACCAACACCAATATCGGTGGGTGTGCCTCCACCGAGGGAAGAAGATCCCGATCTTGGCGATGGTGGTAATATTCTGGCTTCCAAGGTGACCGAAATAGTACCACCAACACCGAAATCGAGGATCATCTTCCCCCTGTGAACGCAAGCCCCTGTGTTGGTGTTGGTGCCAATTTCCAGGGCTCCAATCTCTCTCTCTCTCTCTCTCTCTTGTTGCTCTCTCTCTCTCTCTCTCTGTCTCGCTTGCTCTGTTTCTCCCATGGGGCGGGCCTCCGCGTCCCCGCCCTCCCCTCCTCCCATACCCCCCTCCGCACCCTCCGCCACCCCCTCCTCCTCCTCCTCCCCCTCCTCCTCCTCCTCCTCCTCCTCCTCCTCCTCCTCACCTCCCTATCTCCTCCGCTTTCCCCCCTGCTCCAACACCCCTTTCCCTCCTGACCTCCTGGGTCACGTGACCCCTTGCTCTCGTTTCCTCTCCGTGTCTTTGGTCGCATGTCATTCAGAGCCGCCTTTCTCCCCCCTCTCTCTCTCTCTGTGTTTCTCTCTCTGGTTCTACTCGAACGGGATTATACTCCGTGTCGCCTCTGCCTTTTCGGTTCCTCAGGGTCTTACCGTGCCCGTGTCAATAGTTACCCCGTGCTGGACAGCCACACCAGCTGTGCCCAGCCATGTTGGACAGCCACACCAGCTGTCCCCCCCAAAAGCATCATATCTTCCGGACCCAGTGCATTTACGCTCTTCTCTCTCTGTCTCTGTCCTCGTCTCTCTCTCTCTCTCACGCTCTCTCGTGTCCTCGCTTTCTCCGTTTTTCCTTTGACTAGTTGATACAGCTCCTCTATATGGTCGTCCTTTCGTCCCTCCCGTTTCGTGGACTCCTCTGACCCCTTCTCTCAAGTGAGGACTTGGCCGAAAATGGACGACGCCGCGGACAAGGTGCTCATCGAGCGGATGCGCATGCTGCTCGACGAGATGCACGCCACAGGACGAAGGGAGGGTAATGAGGAAGCGGAACGACGAGGGAGCTGAGATAATATTGAGCCGAGGAGGGGGGGGGAGCAGGAGGGAGGAGGGAGGGGTGGGTGGGGGGAAATGGGTACGAAGAGTGAGGAGGGTGGATAGAGGGTTGTGAAATGAGAAAATCCAGAACGGAGGTGGCAACGCGGAGGGAGCACCTCGAGGTGGACTTGGGTTGACAGGGGAATGAAGGAACCTCTGGCACGGCGAACCATGATAACGAAATGATCACGTCTGGGGCGCGAATGCTGCAAGCGCAAGCTCGGCGCAGACCGAGCTTGCGCGACTCGACTACGCAACTGCAGAGAGGATCGAGGGCCCCGCAGAGCGCGCAAGAAACTACAACAGGGCTGTCCGAGCAAAGGCAGCACATGGCCTGGGGAGGAGGGAGGAAACATCACGAGCTCGTGGGAGCGAGGAAGGGTGTTGTGTAATTCCCACCATGTTGAGCGGGGGCTCTGGAGTTCTCCCCGCCAGAGTCGCACCCATGTTTCTCTGCACCCCTCCTTATTCTCACCCCTGTACTCAGCAGACATGCGCACATGCATAGCACACGCGCGCACACACGCGCACACACACACACATCAGCTATACGCATACCTACAGCCACGCACAC